CAAAGCACCAGGCCCAGATGGAATGCACCTAAGGATCGTGAAAGAAACTGGAGAGGAGATAGCTGAGGAGATAGCTGAGTCACTGCTATATATATATATATATATACATATATATATATGACCTCTGCAGGCGATCTCCTGAGCCAGCTGGTCCACCGTATTCCAGGGCACGGCTGATGACAGCACAGCCAGTCTGGCTCATCGGCAAGACTTGGAAGAGTAGACTAGTCATTGAGGGCAGGGACTCTGCCCACTCAGTCAAAGAGTAGGGTTTTCCGAGCTGAACATGAAGCAGGAAAGCTTGCCAGCAGTGCTCTCGATGGCAAGGTACGCAGTTTTAGCTGGTTAGACTCCAGCAGTAGTACCCCAACACACACTCTGAGTTCCCTAAACCTTGGCTTTTGCCAACCTGCGCTTAATATTTTCTGGAATTAGGTAAGCAGGAAGTGTCCCTCCAGGGAGTGTGTCTGCATTCCAATCCAATAAGTATCCTCTGGTGGGATGCATGGAGCTCTAAGTTTGGTTTGGATACTCTTTAGTGTTGTGATGGGATTCCACATGTGTCAGATACCCAGCTGACCCCCCAAAATGAAAAGTATTTGCCTGTAAACAGTTAAATGTTCTGTGTCATGATAATGTTGCTGTTGACAGAAATGAGGGATTAGCTTTAAAGATTGAGCTTGCCTGGATCTCTCCATTCACATTGTTATGGGCAGTCTCCAAGGGGGGATTTTCATAAGATTGTTTCTAAAAAGAATCAGCTATCTCTGTGTCACTGTGTCATAAGAGAGATGGATAACAGCTGTGATATCTCACCTCCATGGATGAAATCCTATATCAAATTAATAGAAAGTGATTTAGAGCTCAGATTTCAGAGAATTCGAGCCTGTTTACGGTCACAGAAATATTAAAATGTCACCAATGTTTTCCAGCATTGCAGATAGAACAGAATGCAGATTGATAAAGGGAGCAAGCAGCATACAAACCAGTTTTGAAAGAAACAATTACCATGGTCAGAACAGAAGATTAAAAAACACAAGAGTTCAGGCAAAGTTACGTTTTTAAAATAAATAAAGCAAGCTGTACTGCTAATAAGCTTCCATATTCAAACTCTTGTTTGTGGTAATTGGAATGACTTTTTTAAAAAGGTTAAATTTACAATGTTCAATCTACATCAAGTGCGACCATAATTTTCTCAATAATATTTTCAAGTGACATTGGAAAATGTAATTATTGTAAAAATTACAGTTAACCAGGCAAGGTGACATTCCAGTTTGTTTTTCTCTGATCAAGACAGTTGGATCAAATCTTTCCTCCATTTGTAATTATGTTGTCTGCCTCCTTAACCTTAGCATTACTTTTTTCTACATTGATTTTTTCCTCCAAAATGATGGCTTGTAACCTTTTATTTCATCCTTTAAAAATCAATCAGAGGCTTGGGAAGTGGTTACCTGTTGTTGGCACATTATTAAGCAATGACTTATTTGATAATAATTTTAGTAATAGCATTTTGCAATTTATTAATGATCCATCAGCTGTCTCTTGATACAATAATGTTTAACCACCATCCCAGTGTCTCATTCGTAACTTACCCCACTCTCTCTTGTGTAGAGGCTACACCCAGGTCATCTTTTTAACATTTTATACATTTCAGAAAGGAATATTATTAAATGGGCTTTCTTCCTGCAAGCTTCTCTTGTGAACTCTGTTATTTTATGCTCTCTCTCTTTGTATTGGGTGCAGGGAGTGGGGAAGAGAGATCTGCCTTCTTTCCAGATAAAAACTTTGGCAGCAGGGTGTCTGACACATGCGAAAGCCCCCCTAAGTGTCCAAACCGAAGAGTTCCATTCATCCCACCAACACATGAAAATTTCCATGGCACTTTTGTCGCCTCCCACTTTGATTTCTCAAATGCACACCGCACTGGTCACCCCAATTCCACCATCCACAAAATCCAACTCATCCAAATCTTCATCTGCATCCTCACCCATATTAAACTCCACAGGCTCCCTATCCTCGCCAGGCTCCACTGGCTCCCTGACTACAAACCGATTGACTACAAGATCCTCATCCTCACTTACAAATTCCTTCAGGCCTCAGCATTTTCTTATCTCACAGCCCATTCACTTTGCTTAGCTAACCAAGGCTTGCTGCACATACTCTGATCCTGACCCCCTCATGCAACTGTCAAATTGTCAAATCTTCAGTAGTCAAATCTTCAGTCACTATGCCCCTAATCTCTGGAACTTCCTATTTCATTCATTCTGCCTCACCCCCTCTTTATTCATCTTTAATTTCCATCTGAAAATCTACCTCTTCGACTCCATATGTTTATCTCCCCCTTCTCCCAACCCCACTTTACAGCACTCCAAGAAATTATCCTATGTGAAAGATGCTATATAAATTCAAGATGTTGTTGATGGCTAGGACCACCCTTCTCGTTAGGGATTTCATTTGCAGGGTTAACAGGAGCTGAGTGGGAGGACTCATCTGCCCTTCTAGGTTCTGCTGATGAGCCAGGCTGGCTGTGCTCTCATCAGCCGTGCCCTGAAATACTGCGGATCCACCCGGCTCAAGAACTGGATTACTGAGGAACCATAGAGGGCTGCTTTGATTCTGACATTCCTTTGCCAAATCACCTTGGAGCCCTTACAGCTCAACATGAAACGTGTGCGAGCAATGGCACCATTTCCTGCCCACAGCTTGAACGCACCCCTCTAAACCACGCACCTCATGTGTCAGGCTGGGTCAATTGGTAACACTCTTGCCTTTGAGTCTGAAGTTTGTCTGTTTAAGCCCCCACATTGGGATTTGTAATCACATAGTCTAAGATGACACTCCAATGCGGTGCTGGGGGTGGACATTGCATTGTCAGAGCTGCCATCCTTCAGGTGATATGATAAACTGAGGTCCCGTCTGCATGCTCCGGTAGATGTTAAAGATCCCATGACAGTATTCAAAAAGTGAAGGTGGTTTCTCCCAGTGTCCTGGCCAACAATTCCCCAAAATTAAATCATTCACTCAATGGCTACTTGTGGGTCATTGGTTTGTCAAATTGGCTGCTGCGTTTTGTCCACAAAATACTAAGTCGCTGCACTGTATAGTGTGCAAGTGCAGTCTCCTGATGTGAAAGGCACTATACAAATTTTGTATTGTATTGTCTCTATTTACCTGAGTAGGAACCCGCTTTTCTGGGGGTAATAATTCCTTCAAAATAACTAAATAACTAAAAATAATTTGGTCACTCAATCCATGACCGTTTGTGCATTATTACGTGGGGTCCTGCAGTTTAATGTTTAGAGCACTCGCCTCGCAAGCGAGAGGACCCGGGTTCGTTTCCTGGTCCGGGCAAAACCTGAGGCAAGTTTCCTTCCTCCACACGCCTGTGTTTATTTACCCGGCAGTAAGCAGGAAACCCAGTTGTTCGTCGATTGGCGGATCACTTTTCTGGGGGAAAATAACACCTTCAAAATAAACAAATTATCATTTGGTCACTTCAACCCACCATTGTTGATTTTCAGAATTATCAGTAATGCAGATTAAACCAGATCATAAAATATGTTTAAGGTGGTATGGTTTATAAATACAGTGGAATCTGCTTTTGCTGTTTGGCCGTTAACCCTGGATGTCGGGTAAAAATCGAACAAAACTGCTGATCTCAATTCATTTGCAGTCTTAAATATTTTTATATTTTATCGTCTGTTTTAAATATTGCAACTGATTCAGAAGAAAATCTGGTTACTCCGGGCAAATTGTTTGTTGGTCACGACTGAATGCACTCACTTGGGCCTTCTGTGTGTCCACTCAGTCATGAGGGAGTCCCAGATATAGATGAGAGGAGTCAAATGTGATTGTCAGTGGACTCCAGCCATTCACAAGCGGCTGGAGTTGGGCTGTCAATCAGTGAGGGGGAGGAAGAATGGCAATGGGAGGGAGGAAGCCCCACCACCGCTCCTGCTGGCTGGCAAAGTACACCCAAAGTACTGTACTGTATTTTGCAGCCAAACCGAGGTAAATATATTTTACTGAATTCTGTGAGTATTTTAAATTTAACGGGTTAGTTAACATTGCTTCAAGTGAAACAACATTATTATGTATTATATGGAGTTGGCAGGGCAGCTCTGCTGGATGGGAATGGTATTTCACCTAACCTCGGACACCCCCTAAGCCTGACAAAACGGCTGTCCCTAATGTGTCCGACTTAAGTGGCTTCCAGTATTTATTTAAAATAGGGTAGGGGCATAGCACCTGAGGCTGAGGGAAGTGTCCTGACACATAGATGCACCTGCCACTGGCTATTAGACCAATTGTAGAGCCATCTTGGAGGCATAGCCTCAGAGGCGGTGGTGTTTTGGCTCTGTAGGTGGGATATCCTGTAGCTCAGTGGTTAGAGCACTCGCTTTGCAAGCGAGAGACCTGAGTTCAATTCCAGGCAGAGGGCGAAACCTTGGGCAAGTTTCCTTACTCCACACAGAGCCTAATAATAATCCCTCCAAAAACCAAAAACAATAATAAATTGGTCATTTTCAATCTACGACTGTTTGTGGGACATTGCTGTGCGCAATTGGCTGCCGCGTTCGTCCACAAATATACAGTCAATTCACTTTACAGTGTGTTCTGTGAAGCGCTTTGGGACGTCCTCCCGACGTGAAAAGCGCTATATCAAATGCAAGGATTATTATTATTATTATTATTGTTTGTGGGGGCACTGCTGTGCGCAAATGGCTGCCGCGTTTCACCCACAAGTATACGGTCAATTCACTTTACAGTCTATTCTGCGAAGCGCTTTGGGACGTCTCAGCGACGTGATGCGGCGCTGTATCTAACGTTAGGATTATTATTATGACAGTTATATTAGGATTTCAAAACCATCGCCACGTGGTGCTCTCGGCGGCGGTCTGGATGGTGCTGGGTTTCCATGGTGACGGGGGAGGGCTGTCAATCACTCGGGGGGGGGGCGGGCGGAGTGCGCGCGCGCGCGCGCAGCCAGTTCCGCGCGACCAACGGTCGCCCGCGTGACGTCAGATCGCGAGAGGATCGCCCGCCGGTGGGGTCGGAGACGGCGCGGCTCGTGGCTGAGAGCAGCGAACACCGAAGGCGACATCATGGCGATGCAAGCGGCCAAGAGAGCTAACGTGAGTGTCTTTCTGTTCCCCGGCCGGACCTACCGCTCCCGGCGGGGGTAGAGAGAGCGGCCATCTTCTGCTCGCCGGGGCTGTCGCGGGGCCTAGCTCTGTAGGCTGGAGTCTGAGCCCCGGGGGTTCCGTTTTCAGGCAGTCCGTTGAAAGAGGGCCGCTTCGCCGCCCCCCACTCCTCCCCCCCCTCCTCCCCTCTGTGACCGGCTACACTGACCTCCGAGCCCGTCGGTCGGTCAGTCAGTCAGTCAGTGTTTGTCTATGGAGGTCAGGACATCTCCGCTGTAATTTCTCTTCACCTATTATTGTTAATTATTATTGTTATCATTCACCCCGTTCAGGTGAATATTAAAGATCCCGCCACTTTACGTTAATGAGGATAGGTCGTTTCTTGGATGGAGTTGCGTGTTCTCCCACCAAATCATTTGCCCTTTACACAACTTCTGGGAAAGTTTCTGAAGACGTGATGAGATGCTATTTCAAGTGCAAGGAGTTTTTTTTATTATTATCTACAGGTCCTGCAGTCAGTCAGATTGTTCGCTGACCCCACCCCCTTCCCCCCGGAGAATTTCAGGATACCAGAAAATATTTTTTTTTACCTAAAGAATAGCTAACAACAGGTACAGGGAGAAACTGAACTCGTGAGGTGACTGAGGCCAGGCCAGTGGATTCATTCAAAGAAGAGTTTGATGCTCTGATGGGAGGACGGTAGACTGAATATTCTGGAGAGAGGAGCTCAGATAGGCTGAAGAGCCTTCTTCATTCAAACTAATCTTGTGAGAAATTCATATAAACTTCAGCACAGAGACTGAAACCTGAAGGCCCATCATTTCTGTGCTGGTGATGGCTCCCACACTGGCACTAGATCGCCTGCTTTACCCCTTTCTGTCTGTTGACATGTACCCTTGAATTACTAAGAATGTACAGCACGGAAACAGGCCTCTAGCCCAACCATGTGAATGAGGGAGAGGGGGTTAGAAGGGTATGGCAGGGAATAAGGAATGGGTGGAGATTTATCTGGAATATATAATAGGCCCTGAAGCTTTGGAATTTGCTTCCCCCCAATCACTCTACCTTGCCTCTTTTAGATCACAACTAAAGACCTTCCTCTTCGACGGTGCTTACGATCACCTCCCTCTCCCAAGCTCAATAACAGGCTCTGCCACGGTTAAGCACTGCTGAGACGCTGCCCCGTGTGAAGGGTGCTATATAAATGCATGTTGTTGTGAAGGTCCAGCTACCTCTTTAAGTCATCTATATTTCTAATTCAACCACCACTTCAGACAGGGAGTCCAACATTCTCACTATCCATTGGGTGACATAGTTCCTCCTAAATTCTCTTTTTGATCCCCTAGTCGGTATCTTATACTTGGGTCTAACCAGTGGAAACAGCCTATTTATCAAACCTTTTTATAATTTTGAACACTTCTTTCAATCAGGTCCCCTCTTAAACATCACTCCTCTTGTGAAAATACCTTTGAGACGTCCTCTTGACCTAAAAGTTGCTAGAAAGTGTAAATTGTATTGTACTCAATAAATTAAATTGGTACTTAAGTAACACTTTGTTAAACATTGCAAAGCGTGAGGTAGTGTGCTTCAGATGGAATAATAACCGTTTGTAATGTGTGTTAAACAATGCAGCAATAAATGGGCTAAATAATAATCATCTTTGCATTTAGTATAGTGCCTAATTGTATCATCTCAAATAGGAGTGGCAATCCTGGAATTTCAAGAGTACCAATCACAAGATCCTGTATAATAATAATAATAATCCTTGCATTTGATATAGCGCTTTTCATGTCGGGAGGACGTCCCAAAGCGATTCACAGAACACACTGTAAAGTGAATTGACTGTATATTTGTGGGCGAACGCGGCAGCCAATTGCGCACAGCAATGTCCCACAAACAGTCGTAGATTGAAAGTGACCAATTTATTATTGTTTTTGGTTTTGGAGGGATTATTATTAGGCTCTGTGTGGAGTAAGGAAACTTACTTACCATAAGGAGTATGGTAATGGTGGGGAATGCAACCCCTCGTCTCAAGGGATTTTCCTGTGAAATGTAGTGACTGTACATTTGTAGACAAACCTCTCAACTAATCACCCACAAACGTGGATGAATAGAGGGATCTAGGAGTTCAAGTTCATATTTCATATCATTAAAATTTAGCTTAAGGCAAGTATGATACAAGGCTATAACAAAAGTTCTGGAATCTAAAAGCATGGAAGTGCTGCTCCATTTATATAGAGAACTGGTTAGACCTAATTTTGGATATTATGTTCAGTTTTGGGTACCCAATCTTAGAAAAAATATGACTCTTGAAGAGTTCACTAGATTACTCTCTCAACTGAAGGGATTTAGCTTTGATGAAAAATTGGATAGAATGAAATTATATTTCCAGAGGCAGCTAAGAGGTAATACAAATTACACTTGTATAGCTCCCTTCACGTCGGAAAGACATCCCAGAGCACTGGACATTCAAGGGTTTTGGATCCGAGCTGGGAGTTGGGGTCAGGAGAGGTGGAGGGCACGGTTGAAGAGGACGGTCTTTAGATGGTACTTGAAGGAGGAAAGAGGGGGGTGAGGCGGAGGGATTGCAGGATAGAGGATTGAAGGTGAGAACGAGGGTTTTGAACACCATTCTCTGAGGGACGTCCTCCCGATGTGAAAGGCGCTCTATAAATGCAATCATGTGGTTGTTGTGGATGTGGAGCAGGGCAAGGTTGGGGGTGGATCGGTTTGCAGAGCCTGGTGCGAGAGAGGACACAAGCTTCATAGTTCTGAATAAGCTGCAGGTTTGGAGGGAAGAGTTGGGAAGTCCAGCGAGCAGGCAGTTAGCATAGCCAAGCCAGGAAGTGATGAAGCATGGATAAGGATCTCGGTGGCTTGCGGTGGGAGGCAGTGGCGGAGGCAGGCAATGTTGCAGTGGTGGGGACAGTCAAGCCTATCTTCAACAACTACTTGGGATTGGGCGAAGGTGGCTTTTATATTCCTAGACTGAAGGGTTGCCTCTGAGTACAGGTCTGTTGGTTTGTGTAGAATTTCTAAGTATATAAAAACGGAACATATAAATTAATAAATAAAAGATAACAAATAATGAATAATAAATTCCAATCACAAGTCATTACTATTTAAAGAAGTCCATAATCATAATCTGGTGGGCGCTTGCTATTTTCTCACTTTCTCAGAAAGCTTAGGCTCTGAAAAGGGTGTCAGTACAAAGGCATAGGATGTAAAAGGACTAATGCAGAGTGGCCACTGGTTGGGTTCGACAGGTGATTGCTGATTAGACATATTATGCAAAATCTGAAGAGGCTGTTCCAGGATGGTTGTTAACAGGGATGATTGCTTCAACAGGTTTGACTGTGCTTGAAGTAATGATAGGAATTGATACATTAGTGAATGATTTCTGGAGCGATCTATTACAGGGAGGCACAGTCCTAAACTCTGAACTGAGGCCAAGCAGCATTTCTTCATTCAGAGGGTTGTGAAGTTGTGGAATGCTCTGCCCCAGAAAAGTGTAAAGAAGGAATCACCAGAGATGTTTAAATGAGAGCTCGATGGATAATAATAATCCTTGCATTTGATATGGAGCTTTAACGCATCATTGAGGTGTCTCAAAGCGCTTCACAGGATATACTGTGAAAAAGTGGATTGACTGTATTTTGTGGGTGAAACGTGGCAGCTGTTTGCTCACAGCAGTGTCCCACATGAAGTGAGTGACCAACTTTATTTGAGGGATTGGTAGCTAGGACAGCAGGAGAAACTCCCTTCTCTTTTCAAATAGTGCCATGGGATCTGCAACATGCTCCTGAACAGGCAGAGGGGACTTTGGTTCCATGTCTCACCTGAAGGATGGTACCTCCGACCATGCAGCGCTGGGTATGTGTGGCATTGGAATGTCATCTTAGACTATGGGATTCCAAGTCCCATCTGACTCAAGAGGAGAGTGCCTCCACTATGCCAGACTGACAACAATTTACATTCAATGCCTTTCATATCATGAGGATGTCGCAAAATACTTCACACTGTTGACTGGGATCTTGAGCTTGGGAGGGGGGAAAGGCCCTAGTTACTTGGGTGGTAGAGGTATTTAGGGTATGGTGAAATGGGAGGGCATTGGGTTTAAACAAAAGCTTGATAAGATCTAGTAAACTGGCAGAACAGGCTCGATGGGCTGAATGGTCTCTTTCTGTTCCTGTCTTCCTTTGATCACAAAGTTTACTCAAGGTGAATTAAATTATTTTTTATTTCAGATCCGTTTACCCCCGGAGGTAAACCGCATATTATACATAAGAAACTTGCCGTACAAAATAACAGCAGAAGAAATGTATGATATATTTGGAAAATATGGTCCAATCAGGCAAATCAGAGTGTAAGTATTCTCTTTTTATATATCCTCTCTCCTTAACCTTCTTACTATATACTTAAAGAAGGAAACATAGTCCAGTAGCCATAATGACACACTGATTTGAAGACCTAACGTTCAATTGATACTTGTATTCTAGCTGTATGTTACTACAGGATATGATATCCAAGCAGGACTAGATATCAAACTGTTGTAAACATACAACTAAACCAATATAGTAGAGCTAATAGAGTAAGCCTGCTTAATCGTATCAGGTTGAGATCCAGATGTGAAATATGTGCTGAAATATTGATGGAAATTTTAGTTGTGCATGTGTGCATGGTATATCAAAAATTTGCAATTTTCCTGAATTGGAGCTGTAATTCAGTGTCATAAAATGAGTGGATCTGTTACAGGTTGGCTAAATGCACACAAACATTTAATAGTGGTGGAGAGAGATGACTAGAGATTGTCAGATAGATAGATAGATTGTCACAGATGCTATGTACCGCCTAGTCCCTGTGGTGTACCCCAGGGCTCCATCCTTGGCCTCCTCCTCTTCCTCATCTGTATGCTCCCTCTTGGCAATATCATCCGCATCGATGGGGTAAACTTGGGTACAAATCTACTTCTCCTCCAGGTCCGCCAATGTTCTCTCGGCTTGTCTAGCGCACATCGGGGCCTGGACAAGTGAAAACTTACGACAACTCAATTTTGACAAGACGGAAGCCATATACTCATTGGCTCCCGTCAACGTCTTCTATCCTGTGGCTCTGACGTCCTCAACCTTCTCAGTCCATCCTTATCGAACCAGTGCGCAAACTGGGCGTCAGGTTCGACTCACAGCTGTCCTTCCTTCCCCACATCAGGTCCCTGACCAGTTGACCAGGACTGCCTTCGTCCACCTCCACCACATTGCTCGCCTCTGACCGTACCGTACCCCAGACTCAGCCGAAACACTCGTCCATGCATTCGTCATCTCCCGACCGGACTTCTCAAATGCCTTCTTTGCCAGTCCCCCAGGGGTCGGTATTGGGACCACTGCTGTTTTTGATATATATAAATGACCTGGACTTGGGTATAGGGAGTACAATTTCCAAGTTTGCAGATGATACTCAGCTAGGAAAAGTAGTAAACAGTGAGGACGATAGTAGCAAACTGCAAATAGACAGACTGGTAAAATGGGCAGACATGTGGCAGACAAAGTTTAATGTGGATCAATGCGAAGTGATGCATTTATGGGAAGAAGAATGAGGAGAGGCAATATAAGCTGATGGTACAATCTTAAAGGGGGTGAAGGGACAGAAAGACCTGGGGGTTCATATAAGTAAATCTTTGAAGGTGGCAGGACAGGGAGATACAGCTGTTTAAAAAGTATACGGGATACTAGGCTTTATAAATAGGGGCGTAGAACACAAAAGTCAGGAAGTTATGATGAACAGTTATAAAACACTGGTTAGACCTCAGCTGGAGTACTATGTTCAGTTCTGGGCACCAAGCTTTAGGAAGGATGTCAAGGCATTGGAGAGGGTGCAAAGGTGATTTACCAGGATGGTACCAGGAATAAGGAACTTCAGTTTTGAGGAGAGGCTGGAGAAGCTAGGATTATTCTCCTTGGAGAAGAGAAGTTAAGAGGAGACTTAATAGAAGTTTTCAAAATAATGAGGGGATTCGATAGGGTGAACAAGGAAAAACTATTTCCACTGGAGGGTGGCTCGGTAACCCGAGGATACCGATTTAAAATAGTTGTTAAAACAGAGGGGAGGCGAGACATTTTTTTTCCATATCCTTGAGTTGTTTGGATCTGGAATGCGTTGCCTGAAAGGGTGGTGAAGCCGATTTGAAGTAGAGAAGTAGATAATTATTTGGGGAGGACAAGTTTGTAGGTCTATGGGGAGAGTGCAGAGGAGTGGGGTTGATTTGGATAGCTCTTTTCAAAGAGCCGGCACAGACACGTTGGGCCAAATGGCCTCATTCTGTGCTGTATAATTCTATGATTCTATGAAGAGCTGTTCAGGTGGGCATGAAGCTTTAGATAATTATTATTCTTTGGGGAATAACACTAAATATTACTGAGACAATAATGTGTTCATATGACATTTGATATTTTGGGTCAAGACAGGCTCACTTGTGTGTTTGTTATGAAGCAATGGAAAATGAACATTTTCGCTGTCAAGGAGTGAGATTGACCGGATTAAGTGAAGGTGCTTTTTTGTGTGGAATAAGAGTGCTGCAATTCATGGTTGTACTCAGCAAGATGGATGATAGTTTAAAATGTTGCCCTCGTTTGGTTATTAATACTCACCTCATGGGATGTGTTGATTGATTTCAGCAATAGTATGAAGACGGTTGTAAATCTCACTATATTCAGCTCAGCTGCCTTGAGGAATTACAGATTTTCTGGTCTCATCTAACGAACCCCAGTTTTAATTGCAACAAAAACAGAGAGAGCTGGGAAAACTCAGCAGGTCAGGCAGCATCTATGGAGAAAGATGGACCCATGACGACGGGTCCGGACCCGAAACGTTGAGTCACTTTCCTTTCTCCATAGATGCTGCCTGACCTGCTGAGTTTTCCCAGCTCTCTGTTTTGTTTCAGATTCCAGCATCTGCAGTATTTTGTGTTTTGTTCCCAGTTTTAATTGCACCCCTTTATTACTTCTAGTCAAATGCATAACATGTACCTTATTCATCTCATTTGAAGGTTTCCCACTGTTTATTTACCATCTTCTCTCCTCTTCCCCCACCTCCTCTCTCGCCTCCCGCCTCCCCCCTCGCCTTCCCCCTCTCTCCCTCTCTCTCCCAAGCGAGGGCCAGTATCTGCAGTGGCAGGAGCCAGTCGATGGTTGATTGATAAGCAACACATTTGCCTTCCTGACAGATTGCAGTAAAGACTCTGCACACTGCGTCCTCCCAACCCCCGGCTCCTGACGCTGCCTTGGGAGGATGTTCACCAGGGAGGGAGTGGAAGTTGGAATGGTGGAAATGGTTGCGGGCTGCATAAAATCACCCGCCAGGCCACTGGCTGGACCACAGTGGTCTAATACATTCCCAACAGAGTAATACTTATTTCTTATTTATAACCTTGCCAACAAACATTCATTTCACTAACCTTCCACCATCAATTTTAATCCAGTGCTGCAATTAAATCTTTCATAGGTACTGCTATTCCCTCCTTTTTTCCTACTTTCCCCCGAATTGGTAATCAGAAACGTCATACGCCCTGTCCTAGTTTAAGCCAGTTCTCCAATTGTGCTACAATATCATACTCTTCCATAGCAATTTGTGCCTCTAGTTCACCAATTTTACTCATATTTTGTACATTAATGTACAATAATAATCCCTCCAAAACCAAAAACAATAATAAATTGGTCATTTTCAATCTACGACTGTTTGTGGGACATTGCTGTGCGCAATTGGCTGCCGTGTTCGCCCACAAATATACAGTCAATTCACTTTACAGTGTGTTCTGTGAAGCGCTTTGGGATGTCCTCCCGACGTGAAAAGCGCTATATCAAATGCAAGGATTATTATTATTATTATACACCTCAAATCTGTCCTTTTTTTAAAGAATAGCTTCCCTTCTTGATCTATTCCCTGTTAAATCCCTCAAATCCGCTTATTTTTCCTACAGTTCTGGGCCAATTTTCTGTGATTCTTCATTTCCTCTACTTCATCTTGTTTTTTCCAGAACCCTTTCATGAGGGGAAAAATGGTTCTGAGATACAGAAGAGTTATTTTGCATATCAATATAAATATTGGAGTGAAAAAGGAATCTTAAAATTGATAACCAAACTGAAAGCTTCTTTAGGAATTCAGATTCTGGGAATTATGAGCTAAAAGTGTATGAATTTTGCTACCAACAACAACAACAACAACAAGATTCCATTTATAAAGCGCCTTTCACGTCAGGAGGACGTCCCAAGACGCTGCACAGTTGGGTCATGACCCGAGCAGGGGGGAAATGGTCAGGGTGAGGGAGGGAAGGGAGGGAGCGAGGAGGGGTGAAATGGTCAGGGTGAGGGAAGGGAGGGAGCAAGGAGGGGGGAAATGGTCAGGGTGAGAGGAGGGAAGGGAGGGAGCGAGGAGGGGGGAAATGGTCAGGGTGAGGGGAGGGAGGGAGCGAGAAGGGGGAAGAGAGTTGAGAGGGGAGCTGAAGGTTCGGTCAAAGAGAAAGGTTTTGAGACCGGCCTTGAAGGAGGAAAGGGAGGAGGCGGCGAAGGCACTGGGGGATAGAGTTCCAGAGCCTCGGGGCTGAGAGGCTGAAGGCCCGACCACCGATGGTAGGGCGATTGGGGCGGGGGACGTGGAGCAGACCGGAGCCGGAGGAACGGAGGGTACGGGCAGGTAGGTAGGGGGATAGTAGGTTGGAGAGGTAGGAGGGAGCAAGGCCGTGAATGGCCTTGTAGGTGAGGATGAGGATCTTGAAATCAAAACTTTGGCAAGTTGAGAAGTTGAATATAACTAATATAGTTAACTTGCAGGACTGAGTAGTCATCAGTTAAATCTTCAAACTGAAAGGTCTATTGGGCGAAGGCATTACACAGCACATCACCAGACAGTGCAGATCAGAAATTAATGAGTTTGAACACTGATTTAGGCTAAATTACCTGATCTCAACTGGGAAATAATAGAATTGACTTTGGTGCTCCTCAGTTGCAACCTGGTAATGCTTGTACATTATGTACTTACCGTGGAGTCCTGTAGCTCAGTGGTTAGAGCACTCGGCTTGCAAGAAAGAGACTTGGGTTCGTTCATGCCTGATAATAATAACCCTCAAGAAAAAAAAGAATAATGAATTGGTTACTTCAATCCACGAGTGTTTGTGGGTCACTGCTGTGCGCGATTGGCTGCCGCGTTTCTCCCACAAATATACAGTTAATTCACTTTACAGTATATTTTTTGAGACATCTAGAAGGCATGAAAAGCGCTATATCAAATGTAAGGGTTATTATTAACTGGTTAAATCGATTGAAATAATTAATTTGTGCAGATAATTTTTCTGTCTTGAAATTACAAAAGTGATGTAACTCATTTTTTGACAGTGGAAATACACCCGAAACAAGAGGAACTGCATACGTGGTCTACGAAGATATTTTTGATGCCAAGAATGCTTGTGATCATTTATCTGGATTCAATGTGTGCAACAGATACCTTGTCGTGTTGTATTACAATGCAAACAGGGTAAGAGCTCCAGCATTTTCAGTTTTCTTTTGTACATCTGAGTGTAACCTAGGCAGGACATTTCTGTGCAGTGATTGTATATTTTATAGGCCAATTTTTTAATCAAACGAGCGGCTACATCAGGGTTTTATTTAGACTTAGAGAATTTTATAATTTTAATCTTTGGGGGCGATTGAGAAAGCACTCTGGTAAGGCTTCTGTAATATAAATGAAGAATACATAAGCTATAATCCCATGGAGAATGCTTTAATGAACTGTAGAGCTTTTCAGAATAGTGTAGGCTCATGGCATATTACATCTTGCAATTAGATGAAGAAAACATTTGACCAGTAAACCTCTGGCTCCTGCCAGCAGAAGATAACTTATTCAATATCTTCTGCTGGTAGGATTCAAACAATTACAAAACCGGAACCAATCGTTTTAATTAATATCTAAAACTCTTAATTGTGTAGTAAAGATACTTGCGTATGGTGCCCTTCATGACGTCCTCCCGACATGAAGGGCACTTCACAGGATGTACTGTACAATAACAAATTACTGTAAAATGAATTGACTGCTTTTTGGGCAAATGCAGCATCCAATTTGAACATAGGAATGTCCCACAAGCCATGAAGTGAATGCCAATTTTAGAATTGTATAAGGACCAGGAGCAGCGTCTCTGTCTTTAAAGAATCACATTTATCATCTGCATTCTGAATTTGTGTATCCATAAGTAAACCTGTTGATCAAATAGTCTTAAAAAAATATTTTGTTCTTACAGGCATTCCAAAAGATGGATACAAAGAAAAAGGAAGAGCAGCTCAAGATTCTGAAAGAAAAGTACGGAATAAACACCGAGACCAAATGAAACTTTTTTGTTTATTTGAGTTTTGCATTGTAAATATTTGCCTGAACATTTGGAATAATCTGGATCAGTATCTCGTCAATTTTTCTTTTAGGAGTTTTAAGAAAATCATTCATTTTTGAGAAAAACAAACAAAAGTGGGAGGTTATATTTTTTAAGAGGCGGTACCACTTTTTGGTCTGATTAAGCTATATTTCAGACATCAAAAATCAGTCTGCCGTACCCGTTGCCTTCTAGTTAATCAAGGCATTATATTTTTCAATAATTGAATTAAATAATGGTGTCATTGCCAACAGTTATATTGGTGTAATATTCATTATTTTGAGAATGTGCTAGAGTGGAATGATTCAAATGTTGCAGGTTTTTTGCTGGCAGGAATGGATGTATGAAAAATGACATTTTATGTGCTTTTCAGTATTTTATTGAAAACCATAATAAGTTTTTTTTTTCCAATCTGACTTCCTGATTTCTTTATGTTGGATATTTTTTTCAGGGTATTTGTCAATGCCCAAATCTTGCGATCATCATCTGTGTCTGTATTGGTATTAAACAAAGCTTTTTTTTCAGGATATTTGTCAATGCCCAAATCTTGTGATCATCATCTGTGTCTGTATTGGTATTAAACAAAGCTAGAATTTTCTTGAGATTTGAGTTTTTTCTTTATCATATTAAGTATCTGAAATCTTCAACTGGGTATTGAATTGGAGTCATAACTACCTATAAATAAAAGCACTATACATAAATACATTCATGCACTATACATAAATTTGTAAGTGAAATGAACATGGATGACAATGTTGGCATGATTCAGCTAATCACTGATCGGGTACATTTACAAAGAGGTATATAATTTGGGCTACTACTGATTTGCTGCCTCAGCCTCAATTGCATTATTAGTTCCACCTCAAAAATGCCTGCAGATGATAGGAAGGATATAGGAAACATAGGACTTAGACCTGAAAAGGGTGAGGGGACTCCTGAGACCTATATAATATGTTTATAATATATTCTGTGAAGCGCTTTGAGATGTCTCGAAAAGTATTATTACTTTGTATGACTGAATTGGACGTGAAAATGATTCTCAAGAGATCTCAACTACACAGAGGGGAAGATATTTTGATTTATATGAGTGGGGATTTCAGAGACTGCAAATTTTCTTAGGTTCGAGCAAATGGAGGGATAATCTTTAATGTACAGTACAAGTAGAATGGGAAGGGAGGATAGTCCAGTCTTCTATTTTTAAGTTTTCATCTGTGCAATGAATGGTCTGTAGAAACACTTAAGAATTAAGGTTTTGCCAAAAAATAACTAGTTTTAAAATAAAGTAAAACTTGTGACAATATGCTGTATTAAATATTCAAAGCTTACAATTCCCAAGTACTTTGATGTTTTTACTTTTAATTTGCAGTTTCCCTACCTGCCTTCCTTTACCTGCTCCCTACCTTCTACCTGCTCATTTTTTGATGAATGTGTCTGATGCAATTAGAAAGCTGTCGTCATGCTTGAGAATATCCAATATCAGAATATCCAATCCAGCCAGTGTTCTTTATATGTATGTCACTTACATATTCCTGTGTCAAGTGTAATATGCACTCTCCATGGAACAATGCACTCTGCTTACGTAATTCGGAGAATATTAAGCACTGGTTGGCAAGAGCCAAGCCATAGAGACGCTCGTGGAGTCCTGTAGCTCAGTGGTTAGAGCACTCGCTTTGCAAGTGAGAGACCTGAGTTCAATTCCAGGCAGCGCGAAACCTTGGGCAAGTTTCCTTACTCCACACACCTAATAATAATCCCTCCAAAAGAAAAAAAAAATTGGTCATTTTCAATTTACGACTGTTTGTAGGACATTGCTGTGCGCAATTGGCTGCCGCGTTCGCCCACAAATATACAGTCAATTCACTTTACAGTGTGTTCTGTGAAGCGCTTTGGGACGTCCTGACGTGAAAAGCGTTATATCAAATGCAAGGATTATTATTATTATTAGAATATGTATTGGGGCTACTGCTAGAATAGAGGGGTACTGACTAAAATCACATATTGAGAACATTGTCTGACAAGCTTCCTGCTAATTGCCCAGCTAAGTCAAGTCTACCTGTTTAGACCTTTTTCTTGCAGGGTCAACAGAATCCGAGTGGACAGAATCCCAGCTCGCAGAAATTGGTCTGCCTAGAGTTTTGCAGATGAGCCAGGCTGGTTGGTCTGCCTTAGTGCCTTGCACTACTGGGTCCCTGACTGGTACAGGAACTCTGGACTACTCTCCTGAATCTGATATTTCCATCACCAAGCACATCACCTTGGAGACAACACAGTTCCAAGGAGTTTCCACTTACCCTCCCCATCTCCCAAGGGCTACATGATAGCCTCCTATCCTGCTCCCCATGTTAGGAATCACCCTTGTAGAAAGTGATACTTCCACTTTATAGAGTTGGTTTATTGTGCAATAGAATTGGCCACGAGTTACCATAACAGGAGTTTCTATTGCACAATAAACCAACAAGATTATACAAAAAAAATCAAGAAATAAGCTCTGCATGATGACTGAAAGAATTCTCATCTTATTTCCTGAGTTATTGCTGCTTTTTCATAGAATCAGATTGAAAACCAATTTTGCTTCATAATTTGTTTTTGCACAAAATACCAATTTGATGCTAACATTTTTTTAATTATTGAATCAGCTTAGTTTTAAAAAAAATTAAAGAGTTGGATTTAACCAAGACTAACTTGTTAAAATACATTTTTGATAGTTATTTAGGATCTTTGCCTACATTCATTATTTTTGAGATAAAACATTTTTTAACTGCTGCTAATTTTTATTTGAATTGGTGTAAATCAATGGGCGTTATCACACCCCTCCTCAAAAAACAGAGCCTGGATCCCTCTAACCTCTCATACTACTGTCCCATTTCCAACCTGCCCTTCCTTGCCAAAGTCCGGAAATGCATTGTTGCAGGTCAACTTTGGTCACACCTCTCCCTCCTCAAGCCCCTGCAGTATTCGTTTTCGCTCTGCCTACAACACAGAGACAGCACTTGTCAAACTCACAAACAATGTCCTCTCTATCTGTGACCAGGGCTCCCTCTGCCTCCTCGTTTTCCTGGATCTCTCTGCCGCATTCGACACAGTCGATCATGCCATCCTCCACCGCCTCTCCTCCCTCATCCACCGTAGTGGGACAACAGCACTTGCATGGTTCGAGTCCTACTTAATCAACTATCTTGGCAGATGGTTTCTCCTCCTGCTCCCGCCTGGTCACCTGCAGGGTACCTTAGGGCTCCATCCTTGGCCCTCTTCCTCATCTACGTGGGCGATGTCATTCGCAGACACGGGGTAAACCTCCACATGTATGCGGATGACACACAAATCTACTTTGCCTCCTCAAGTATCGACTCCAGGTCCGCCAATGTTCTATCAGCTTGTCTGGCAGACATCAGGGCTGGGATAAGTGTAAACATCCTGCAGATGAATGTGGACAAGACAGAAGCCATACTCCTTGGTTCTCGTCAACATCTTCACTCCTGCAGATCTGAACTCAACCTCCCTGGGCTCTCCCTCAGACTCAACGAACCAGTGCGCAATCTTGGCATCCAGTTCGACCCCCAGCTGTCTTTTCTCCCCCACATCTGGTCCCTGACCTAGACTGCCTTCCTTCACCTCTGCCACATTGCCCGCCTCCGACTATATCTTACCCCAAATGTAGCCGAAAGCCTCGTGCATATGTTTGTCACCTCCCGCCTGGATTACTCCAACGCACTCCTCGCCAATCTCCCCAGCTCCACTATTCAAAAAATAAACCTCATTCAGAACTCTGCGGCCCACATGCTGACCCAGATCAAACTGCAAACTCCCATCTCACCAGTTCTAGCCAGGCTTCACTAACTCACCATTACCAAACGGATCGACTTCAAGATCCTCACACTCATGTTCAAATCCCTCCACTCCCTGGCACCTCCCTAACTCTCCAACCTCCTCCCTCCCCAATCCACCAACCAGTGCCTCTGCTCGATTTGCCTCCTGCTTGTCCCTCACACCCGCTGCCCCACCATTGGAGGTCGCGCATTCAGTCACTCCGCCCCGAAATTCTGGAACACATTCCCACAATCCTTCCGCCTTGCCCCCTCTCGCCCCTTTTTCAAGTCCCAACTGAAAACCTTCCTTTTCAACTGCGCTTACAGTCATCTCCCCAGCCCCAGCTCGGTCTCAGGTTCCATCACTGGTAAGTGCTCTGAGACACTATCCTGCAAGGAGGGCGCTATATAAGTGCAAGTTGTCTTTGTAAATGAGGCAGAAGGTTTGTGCCATGTATAATTATTTAAGCAACTTGGATTCACACAACGCATATATTTGCAGGATAATGCTTCACAGTACTATACAAAGACAACAACAAGATTCCATTTATAGAGCGCCTTTCACATCGGGAGGACGTCCCAAGGCGCTGTACAGTTGGGTCAGGACCCGAGAAGGGGGGAAATGGTCAGGGTGAGGGGAGGGGAGGGAAGGGAGGGAGCGAGGAGGGGGTAGAGAGTCGAGAGGGGAGCTGAAGGCACGGTCAAAGAGAAAGGTCTTGAGACCGGCCTTGAAGGAGGAAAGGGAGGAGGCAAGGCGAAGGCACTGGGGGATAGAGTTCCAGAGCCTAGGGGCTGAGAGGCTGAAGGCCCGGCCACCGATGGTAGGGTGGTTGGGGCGGGGGATGTGGAGCAGACTGGAGCCAGAAGAACGGAGGGTACGGGCAGATAGGTAGGGGGATAGTAGGTCGGAGAGGTAGGAGGGAGCAAGGCCGTGAATAGTCTTGTAGGTGAGGATGAGGATCTTGAAATCGATCCTCTGGGGGATGGGGAGCCAGTGGAGGCGAGCGAGGGTGGGAGTGATGTGGTCGCGAAGCCTGGTGCGGGACAGTACACGAGCTGCAGAGTTCTGAATGACCTGCAGTTTGTGGAGGGAGGTGGCGGGAAGGCCGGCGAGGAGAGAGTTCCCATAGTCCAGCCTTGAGGTGATAAAGGCGTGGACCAGAGTTTCAGCAGCGTGAGGGGTGAGGTAGTGCCGTAGTCTGGCGATATTCCGGAGGTGATGGAAGGCGGTGCCAGTTGTGGCGCGGATATGAGGGAGAAAGGACAGCTCAGGATCGAACAGAACCCCGAGGTTCCTGACTGGCTTTGAGAGGTGGAGAGTGCAGCCTTGGATGCTGATGGTGTCAGCGCCTGAGGTGCGGAGGCGCTGACGTGAGCCAATCAGGAGGGCAGGGAGTTTTACGCACGTTGAGCTGAAGAAAGTTGTCTCTCGTCCAGGACTCGATGTCGGACAGGCAGGCTGTCAGGACATCGGTGGTCGTGGAGTTGAGGGTAGAGGAGGAAAGGTAGAGTTGGGTGTCATCTTCGTACATGTGGAAGTCGACCCCATGTCTGCAGATGATGTCACCAAGGGAGAGCATATAGAGGGTGAAGAGGGGGGGATCGAGGACAGAGCCTTGAGGGACACCGCACGAGACAGTGCGGGGGCCGGAGGAAAAACCATTCGTGGAGACAAAGTAAAGACGGTGGGAGAGGTACAACCTAAACCACTCAAGGACAGGGCCTTGAAGGTTTAGGTGGGAGGACAAGCGGTGGAGGAGGATAGCATGGTCGTCCGTATCGAATGCTGCC